TAATGCTTGAATTCTGGCAAGGTTTCCAAACAAAATATAAAAATGGACATAAGAATCACGGTTACTGAGATAATTGCCACGATTCTGGCACCTTGCGAACTCTCTGGATATTCAAACAATAGCCACAGTTTTTTATTCCACTCCCTTTTGGGGAGAGGCTTTTCTTCCTCTTTTATAAAACCTTCATCTTCGCGAAATTTATTAAATGCTAAATCACCCAATTCGTAGAATTTGATTTCCTCCGAAAATACATCCAAAGGGACGTTAACTGGTCTCCTGAGCCTTCCTCCACTTTGATAATAATATAAGATGGCATCAAAACTCGGCCTGTTTCTGTCGAAGAAATATTCATTTCTCAATGGATCGAAATAGCGAATTCTTCGAGTGGGATCACCTAAAAGACTGTCGGGAAATTGGTTGAGGGTTCTTAGTTGTGTTTCGAACCTCAATCCGCTGACATTGATGACCACTCTTTCGCAGAAGTCGTGATCGTGGGGAATGGGTTCGAAGGCAGGCATCGATGGCGAGGACACGTGGTCGTTGGACGGGATTTGTTGTCCATCGTTTCCTCTGACATCCTCGCTGCTCAACTTGGGAAGTGACCTAAGGGAAGGAACAGACAGATTACAAGTTGGTAACAAATCATTACCAGCCTCCATCTTGGAGCAAGTAGATGACGAACGCCGATACAACGGCGCATGCAACTCCACATGTTGAGGATGAAGTACGGGGCTAAGACCCCACTTTTCTCCTGATTGTAAGTTCGAAATTTTGGTTATAAAACGCCTATCACGTTTATATATTCGGACGCAAGCCTAATTTTATTGATGGATCCCGGATGTACGCAGCTGTAGCGAGGCTGGACGGACCGCAGCCAATCTGACGTCATCAACCCTCGGCTTGCTGCAGCCGAGGTATCGATTCGACGCGTTCCTTACTCGAACTATTCTATGTTGTATATAAGAGAGAATTTGCAACCGGAAACAACTCGTTACATTACTATCTGATGACAATGCATTTTTGACGATAGACGTTTGAACCCAACCCTTCAAAGTGTTATATATCTTTAATGGCTGAACAATGACTTACCGGCGCAACAACCGATCATTCATCACCTGAATCAATTATTTTTTTAACATTCTAAAATAAAGACAACTTAAATTTTTATTTATCGTTATAAGTTTTAGCTGTCACTGTTGACTGATTTTTTTAATTAAATAATTATCTTGGTAATTGTGTTTTTACTAATGTGCAGTGAAGGTCAAGAATAGTTAGTACATAAACAGTTGTATCTATTTCAAAAAGATAGATTCACATAATGCAAATAGTAATTTTGAAATTTTATTAAACAGGAACCAACTTCAAGAATAGATATGTTAAGAAGTAGTTATTTGAAAAATCAACTCAAGTTTTAGACGAAGAAATTGATGAATTGATAGCCTTGCATCTTGACCGATTTCTGGAATAACTTGATATGTTATCTTTAAAGATTATCTAGAGAGGATGTCTTTATCCATTGAAAAGGGATTTCAATAAGATGAATAAAGAGGCAGGTTACTTAATGCTCTTACAAATAGAATCTCATTCTAGTGGTTATGATGGAAACTAGAAAGGTTGTTCTTCGGATGCATTGGAGAGAGTTCGATTTAAAGTTTAAATAACAAAAAATAAAATGAAATAAAATAAATTGTTAAAATGATTTTATGAGTTATATGTAAAGAACCAAACTGAAATAAGATATTAATGTAAATGATGAAAGTGATGATCAAACCTTAAAGTAAAAAAAAAAATCATTACTCTTAAATACTAATTTTAAGAGGAATGATTTGTACGTAAATTATTAAAATGTCTTTCCGAATTTCTTGCCATCAAACTCTATGAGAAAATATTATCACATTTATCTGTTTTATCTTCGATAATCCGCGGATAAAATTACTTCCGATTTGCAAAAATTTGATAAGCTCTGACACTTTCGATTGGTGAGCATCCAGCATCCGAAATCGATTGTTGAGTTTAGTGAGTCGATTGCTGATAAAGTACGGGTTATAATTTTCCTCTTAAGATATCCGGATTATTCCGTTCTATAAATAGAATATTTTTACCTGTCTAATCCGTCCAGTTCGTCCAGAACCTTGGTAATGCAGTTCTGTGTGAGAGATACAACCAGATTGGCCGCATCCTTCTGGCAGTTCATCAGGCGATAAAATGGAGCGAGGATGTAAGTATACACCCTGGATTATTCAAGAAAATACATTTGATATATATTTAGTACTTAGCACGTGTTGGTGCAGTACGACATCCTAACGAGTTGTTTGATTCCCGACGACGTTCTGCAGTCTCCTCACCCAGCTGATTGGACGGCTGCCTCTTCGCTCTTCTTTCTTCCAACAGATCGTTTCTATCACGCAGTCGCACTAGTTGTCCAGGCAGATCAATGTCAAGTGCGACATCCGAAACAGAATCGAAAGGGTTTATGCGAAATGGCAAGTGTTCTTCGTAATGTCGATAGCTGCATGTTCGTCGTCACGTTAGAAATTATTGTGCAGTGCATTGAAGAATGCTGCTCGAATAAGCTCAGAATAATCAGAAAAATATTATTCATCAATTTCTGCTTAGAAAGAAAAGAATCGATCAACATCTATATGCACGAATTTTACAGTATTTGATCAATTTGCATATATTACCAGGAAAATATATGATTTGTATTGTATTGTGATGTGCAGAAATTAATCAGTCTCGTGCTCAAGACTGAAATTTTAGAACAATTAAATTTAAATGTTGATATACTTGGTTCTAGTCAAGTCTACGCAAGAATCGGAACTACCAAAATGATTTTTGTTTGCATTTGCATTTCCTGTTACGTTCATGTATTTTAATAATTACTTCTGTTTTTTCTTAATTATTAATTCTATCCGTATTCGTTTATTTCCTGATCTACGTATATAAATCCATTTTAAAAAGTGAAATAGGAAAAGTATTAAAATATTATGAAATGGAATAACTGTCATATAATATTTTAAAGTCAAGAAACGTATTGGTTATTCCGTAAAAAATTCTGTGAATTATTTTTATTTTTACGATACACGTATTATAAATGAAAAAAAAAATTTTAAATTTCTTTTCATTCATAGACTAGATTATATTTTTATAGGAAACATGCTCTTAAAACAGATGTTTCGATTGTACTGAAACAAGAATTAGCTTAAAAGTTGGGAGAATGAATTATGAACGACGAATTCATATTATCGTTCCAATATTGAATTCATTCAGTTAGAATAATTGATGATTTTATGCTATTTGTCTCAGTTATAAAAATCTGTGATCTGGTTATCATCATTCGATCGTTTATTATTGAAAGCTTTGCAAGTAACAGATTTTTGTCTTGCTTAATAATTGAACGGAAATCAGTTATTTTATGCCCCATTAAGATAAAGTTCACTAAGCTTGTCTTCAGTTTTAATCTTTCAGCAAATCTTGCATTTAGTCTATAATGCTTCATGGATTTGAGTTTATAATTACAATGCTTAAGTCTTAAATTTAAAACTGTTAACACTATCAAGTTGAAATATTAATTGTTGATTATGAACTGGAAGGATTTATTTTTAGTTGGATTTTTTTGTTAATAATATTAAGCGCTTTTATTTTATATTCTGACTTCTGAGTTAGGAAATTCTAATTCATCATTTGAGATTATTGAGATTAATTTTTTTTTATATGCTTATAAGCAATTTTTCAACTATTTTCTTAATGAAGAAAGAAAGAAAATAATTAATTATTTATTTTAATTCTAAAGAAATTTGATATCTATATTCAGAGTAATTCAAGTTTTTCAAAAGTGTTGCTGGTGTTTAATTCATAAATGATATAAAGCAAATTATCTTTATTCTCTTATACTTGTTATTATGAAACTGGAATTTAAGTTCTATTAAATTCTTAAAGATGTAAAGTAGATACATTTTGGTTTGTTCAATATTACATATTTTCTATGATATTTGTCTTTAAAATATTCTCTCAGTTTAAAGAAATAAAATGTAAAAATCAGATTGAACTTATTAAAAATGTAGAAAATAATAAAGTCCTTAGTTCAAAAATTATCCTTAAATAATCGATCTTTACAGCAAAAGTTCTCATAATAGATTTGTTGGCACTCGCCGATTTGTTCTTCAGTGGATCCTGTCATAGAATGGGTGTCCTACTGTACAGTCAAGGTCACCTCCTGATGATCTTAAATTTTCCATCCAAAATCGATTGACAACCCCTAAGGACAAAATCTAAATTATAAATTTGGAAAAGTCACTTTCCTGCCATTGATAATAATAATTGTAGCGTATATATTTTTATATAAATATACATAGAATACTTTATCGAGCAACTAGTACTTTATTGTTGATGACTGCCATTGATTTTAGTTTCTCACGAAAATCGACTCTGGCCATTCAACTACTTTTCCCTTCTCGCTTAATGGTCTCCGTTTTTCCTATCCACTTAATTTCCACGTTAATTGAATCTTTAACAATACTCTCCAACGATTTAGTTTGGAGATAAATGACGAAACCCAACTGATAAAGCTATTACATATTCGAATTTTCCGGTACACTAATCCGATTTTCAAGTGATTTTGCGGATGATACTGCGCTTCCTTAACCTCTGATTTGGGGGGCGTTACCAATCTCCAGATTATAGGTAATGAAGAAAATCAATAATGGAAATAACAACGCTGCAGAAGTCTAACCGTAACTCACGTTAGCGCTTTTTAAACTAATTTAAGCGTAAATATTCTCGGATGTTTAAAGTTGTATGGCGTACCCCTTATCGTAAAACTAACTAAAACTAACTTTACGCTATTTAGACGTTAAAAACATTTAGACTCGCGAAAAGACTATTATAATTAAAATATTCGTTATTACAAAACTTTGATAAAAGTGTTTTAATGAAGAATCGGCAAAATCGTCTGCTATTTTTCCGTCTTATGCTAGTTTTATCTTCAAAACGCTACTTACTTGAAAGAGAAATATTCCGTCAGAGCATATTCCGTCACGGCAAACATGATATAGGCCAATTAAACAAAGTTGCATACTTTTTAAACAGAGAGAATCGGATGGACCGACTTCTTTCGTGGGTAGTCACTTTGACTCTCCAGCATCCCAAGTGTCACTGGGGAGAATCACGTGATACCGATCGTTGCGCAAACTCAGATGCAACAGAAGACAAAATCGTCTGGGCTGTGGTTTTTATCAAATTTAAAATCTCTTAAACATGATTCAGTTTTCTTATGCAATGGTATTTAAGAATAGCAGTTCATTTATCATTTATAATTTAGTATTCCATGTGTTATTCTAGGATGAGAAGATGAAAATTTATTAGTTGAAATAAAAGAAGCATACAGCTTATAATTATAGGGATGAAAAATTAAATCTTTCTTTCCTTAATTATTTAATACATGATAGAACATCGTTATGTTAAAATTAATTTTTTTTTTTTTTTTGTATATTTACCTCTCAAAATGCTACAAATTACTTTTTCTAAAGATAAGTTATTATTTGTTTTAGAAAGTTTAAATATCGAAAGATTAAATCTATGTAAAGAACAATCTAATTAAAATGACGAACTAATTGAGGATATCGTCTTCAGTCGAAAGGGTTCTGTAAGACCTTCTTTGACCTCTAACTTATTATTAGAGAAGAAAAAGAAATCAAGAATGACAAGAAAAGCTGAAGAAACAACAAATGTCTAAATAATGTCCTCTTAACTGGCACCGATGCAATTTTTCTATCAATCGATATTCTTAAACGGAAGACACTCCTTTTATATAATTTCCAGTTTTAATTTTTTGCGAGAGAAAATTGCCAAATAGTTTCTTTCAATTTTTACAAAATTCGATCATCGAATTAAAAGAACCAAATGCTAATTTTTAATTATTTTCTAAATGCTAATTAAGCTATATAACACTTTATATTTCCTAATAACTGTCGAAATATTTAATAATTTTTACTTTACGTTTTCATTTCTTATTACAGATCTATAAACTTCTGATGAAAATAATCTAACGCCAATATTATATTTACAAATCCAAGTTTCTTTTTATATATTAATTAACTGTTAATTTAAATAATGTTTAAAATATTCTTGAATAAATTTGATCTATTTTCCTAGCAGCATTTTTATTGAAAATATTATAGTATAATAAATTTAAAATATTTATTTAATGATATTTTTAATAAATGAAAATTCAATAATTCCGTAATGTATTAATCAGATTAAATTATCGAGTTAACTTATGTAGTCAAACGGTGGCGCCATCTGGTAATGTATCCCTATCGTTTACAAACTCTGTTTCGATAAAAATGTTTTAACTTAAAGTATATTTGATTCCAGTATGTAAGTTCAGAATCTTACTCACCCATTTCTGCTGGAATAGGCCGACTGATTACTAGGATCGGAACTTTGCTGTCGACTGAAGTTTCCAGATCGTTTACCCCATTGTCCACCCATACTTCTTCCTCCTCCTCTACCTCCGATCCCTCTTACCATAGCCATTCTAACTGTTAATTATATCAAGTGAAATTGAGAATTTTCTTGTTTTTCCTTTTTCTCTTCATTATATCTCGCTGCTTGGAGTAGACATAGCGTTTTATCACATTACAATTCTTCTCACACGCAATTCAACAATGGCGTCACGCTGACTATTTTAAGAAAGGTGTTCACATATCTGGCTATCAGTTTAACAATATATTCCTATAAATTTTTGCAATAACTGACAATTCTTCAAAATTACCTGCAATTGGATTCGGAAAGATGAAATATCACCATTTTTTTATCCGATGATTGCACTTCATATAAAAACTTTCCCGTTGTCATTCTTGCGTGTCATTTTATGGCACATTTTTTTTCTGTAGTGTTGTTTAGTCCTTTTTTTAAATCATGTGACAGCTTCAATAGGACTATGTGCGAACCCACTGTTCATCGTATTTCTCTAGTTCCGTCTGTGTACAGAACTAGTACATTTGGTTGCTATAGAAACAAACAGCCAATAACAAAACCCGAATTATCTTAAACGTGGCGGGTTAACGTTAGACTCGATAGTCATTGGAAATTTTAATATACAAACTCCGTCTAGTGATAAGAAAGAAAACTAATTTAGTAATGGGAGTTGTCCGAAATTTCGTAAGATTGTTAATTATTAATAAAGTAAATAATGAATAAATTACATGTTTTGTGTATCATTCGCTTGTCTTTTTATATTGCTGATTTTAACTTAAAATAATCATTAATCGATTCTGTCTTTAATATCTAATTTGAAAATGCTTTTGTTTACATTCAAACCGTTTTATTAGACTTTTATTTTGACAGTAAAGAAAAAACAGAATATTTTCTGAACGACATTTTAAAAATATTATTTAATTTATATATTGTACAATCATATTGAAACATATTTATAATAAGGCCTTAGTTTGACCACAATCCATATTATGAAATGTATTAGCATAATGTTTTTAAGATGTTATCTGTTACATTTGAATTTCTTTTTAACTAGAGTTTTATTACGGTATAATAATGAGGATTATCCTTTATGAAGGAATAGTATAGTTTATGAAATTAAATATTGATATAACCTAAAAATTAGCTAATATGATTAGACATAAACTTCAAAAAACAGTTTTTTAAATATTAAAACAGATGTTATTAAACAAATGCCTACTCCCAATTTTTACAATTTCAGTAATTTTAGTGTAGCATTATGTTCTTTTATCGAAGTTGTTACATAAGCTAATAAAAAATTTTAAACATATTAATTATGCATTAATTAATTAATTAATTAAAAAATGCCGACATTAAATATGGATATCCTATAAATTTAGTTTATAAATTGTATCATGTGGTATTCTATTAACAAGAATATTTATATAGAAAATTTTTATAACTTTACTTTCGCATTCTATTTTTAACAATTTTCTTACTTCAATATTTGATGATATTACCCTAAATGTTAAGTTATAGTTTCGTTTCATACACATTTTTTAGAATATGATATCTCAGAATTCTCCCTTCCCATGGGATTCATGTTCGACTCTCGTTATGATAAAGGTCATTATTTCTGATTCGTTATGTAAGAAAAACATTAGCATCAAACTAAAATTGATAAATTGCGGCCTGCGTAATCGTTTGATTTTAATTTATTAAATAACACAATATAGCACACTGATCAACTATTGGAATAAAGATCTAACCAGAAACAGTCCATTCGTAAAATTTTGTGAATTTAGAATTTGTTGTTACATTAATTTGTTATTTAAAAATAAATAAATCGTGTTATTTGTCTACTATAAACAATAAACTTTTGAATCATTTTTCAAAAGTTTTATGCGAAATTACATCTCTTATAGTTAATGTCATTGTCTATTAGAAACATAGTTTTAGATTTTTTTTTCTTCAGTAAATTTTGATTTTAAATAATTCAGTTTTTTCTTCCAATAAAAGTTTATAATATTACTCACTGCTTAAATATTAGTAAATTCTTTTATTTTTTATCTTCACCTTACAATTCTTTTTTCCCCTTTTATGATATTTATTTTTTTGTTCAAAATCTTAAAAATCATGTAGAGAAGATTTTTGAACTTACAAAACTTGAAACAATAACTAATCAAAAATTTATTTATCGAAATTTTAATGTTGCGTGAAATAATTACTATAAAAGTGATAAAAATGTTTGCAATTCCTTGACTAGTAATTTATATTTACAAAAAGAATAAAATATTTAAATATAGGGCCTACTATCTAAACGGATCGTTAATTATTCGCGCAATAAACTAACGTTTTCTAATACTAACTAAATGAATAACATTTTTGAATACTTTCCAATTTAGTTTTAGTATTCTCTAGTAAATTTTTAATTTTAGTTTTTATAAATAATTGAACAATTTGTAACATTCGAATTTTAAATGTATTAATAATTCAGAAATGTATTCGTTTTCGATCTATCGATATATTTTGTTGTCAAATAAATATGATGCTATATTTGATGCACTGTTTCTCCTGTCACAAATATATGAAAGTATTGCTGAAAGAGGTAATTGCATAGTAAGTGTTCCTAATATACATAAAAATTAATGTTATACTAATACGCCATAAAATATATATTCAAATTTAATGTTATTAATATTTTATATACGTTTTTAACTGCTACACTAACGTATACAAATACGATTTTTCAATTTAAAATACTTTTTAAGTAAAAAGATAGTACAATATCGAATTATTACATTGTAGGGAGCGGATAAAATAACGAAGAAATTTATGATAGCCTAATAAAATGAATATTCAGATAATAATTATTTCTTACATAAAAATATATACTTAGTATATAGATTATACAGTGATATTATAAAATATGTTTGAAGAATATTAATATTTATATTACTAAGTAACATCCAATGTTTCTCTCGTATGAAACTGGATCAGAAAAATGTTGCATTAATTTCATAATAAAATTGAAATACTTAGAGAAATCAACTGAATAAGAAATGGAAAATTAAATAAAATTTTAGGCAAAATTTAAAATATGTAGTTTTATTACAGACAGGATGTAAGAAAAGTTTTTGACAAGTCATGGAAACATATTTCATATATCAGTATGTTTTAATACGAATAGTAGTATACTAGAGTATATATGCTGAAATTGTATATTCTAAATAAAAAGTCACTTTAGTATGATTTTTTAGTCTGAATTTTATTTGATATTATACATAAACTGAATATTTTCTGAGTCTGATTACCGAATATTCTATAGATGCACAACAAATTCACATATACACACATACTGTATCTATAGAGATGTGTGTATCTATGAATTTGTTGTGTATCTATAGAATATTCTTTAGTTATATATACGTTTTCTTATAATATGATAATTATTTTTTCCTAAAATTTAGCTGATCAGAACCTCTAAGAACAATAAAAAGTATTCTCTTAAGAAAAGTACAGTATTATGTAATATTCTAAAGTATTTATCTTTACCTTAAAAATTCTGCAATTAATTAGAAGTATACAGAAATTTCATTGATGAATTTAGTTTAGATTAATTCTAAGTAAAATTTACAATAACATCTATGAATTAACTTTTAGAAGAGAAATTCATCTTAAATATACGAAAAGTTTTAAATTATTTTCTTTTATACAGTTTATTTCAATAAATGTGATGATTCAGTTTATAATTTAAATGTGTATAAAATATAATATAAAAATAGAAATTCAATTGTATTTGAAAATAATTGAATGTCACGAAATTTTCTTTTTGTTCTAAATGTAATATGGATTAAGTTATTAAATTTGATATTGAAATATCGTTGCCAATTAACTAGCTTCCATACGAATAATCATCGATTGATGCAAGATTGAAAAATAGATATTAATAATTCATAGATTTTTATAATCAAAAACAAGATTTTTCAACTATTGCGTAAAATATTGAACTGATATAAGCCTAATTCTTGGAATTTAAAAAGATCTTTTAAATAAATTCAAACAGTACAAGTTATATATGTATTTACAGTGTATATACAGGGCGAACCAAAAGTAGGTGGACAGTATATGAAATAGGATTTGTGTTAGGGTTATACTATAACAATGGTGTATATTTAACTTGGTTATGGTTGAAAATTATATCAGAGATGATTTCAAGAAATTAATACACAAAGATACTTGTGCAAAAATGTTTGTCGAAGAGTGAAATGGTGAAATGTAGACAGCATTCAAAGCTGTGTAAATTGCGATGGACAGCAATTTGAGCACCTTGCGTCGATAAAATTGTATTTTGTATTAGTAAATATAATTGTATATGTAATCTCAATAAATGTTATCATTTTCTGTCCACCTACTTTTGTTTCATCCTGTATATTCTGTATATCAAATACAAACGAGATATATAAGTAATAATAATAATCATAATAATAATAATAAGATAATAGCGAGCAATGATAAATTATGCTTAACTATAAATGATATCTCAAATTTTATTTTCTAATATTCCTACAAAATGTTTATTTTATAGGAGTATTGTACTTTTACTACAAAAGTGACATATTCAGATATCGTTATTGGGAGCATCAGAATAACTTTGCGTATGAAGTTTTGCTTTTTTCCTTTGTATATAGATATAAAGAGACTTCTTACACATATACATATTATAAAAATACACATAATATATTTTAAAATACATTTTTATTTTATTATATTTTAATTATTTATTCATTTTTATTTTTGGTTAAGGGGAGGCATGTATCACTTCGATCCGTTCCCTCAGTCTGTGTATTCAGAAATAATAATTGATATAATTAACAAAAGTGAAGTGATTTCCTTTAAATATATTTGTGCCAAAATAAATAAAATATTTTAATAATTGTGTTTTAAAATAGCAATTAAATGAACTTAAATCCAAATTATTTATTTAAAAAGTGTAAAATATACGTTATGTATAAATAAATTCCAAAAACATACAGATAAAAAATTACAAAGAAATCTGACAGAGAGTAATAATTACATATTCATTTCAACTGTTAATTTTTAAAATCTTGTCTACCCAAAGTACAGTAAATTCGAAATAATATTTACTCTTTTAAAAAGCACAAAGAAAATTATATTTGTGAAATTTTCATGCAAATAATAGAGAGATATCTTCTAAATAATTTATTTCAGAGTACAATTATCTTATACTATGAAAAACGTAGGTGATAAAACATATTTTAACAAATTTCACACTTAAAATAACTACCGAACTATTTTTGGAAAATTTTTAAATAACGTTATAGTAAAATTAATTTTACTTTGTCTAAATATGAAATAAGGAAATTTATCAAAGTTATATTATATTTTTAACATGACTCAAACCAGCTAGTTATATTGTTTTGATTACGCAAAATTCATTTCCTACTTGAAAATAAATAAATAAAATTTTAATTTGAAAGAACTATGACTTGTGATTTTTCACAAACTGTATATTTGTATTTACAATATAACAAATAATAAATTTTCTTAACGTAACATTTAATTTAAGTTATATTTCGATTATTAAACTACATCATAGTATTTTAATTTAAAAATATTTAAAATACATATGTATATCAATTATTTAAATTAGAAGGATTTTTCCCTCGTGAAATTTATTTTAATTTATAAATCATTTAAAAGTAAACTCATTTAAAATTTGTTAAACAAAAATGATTATTCTCTGTTTTAAATACTGTATATTCATTTTAGAAATGTTCATACAGAAAGTTTGTTTTAATTTATCACACCTATCTTCAACAAGAGGAAAATTAGGCCATATGAAATATAAAAAAGTAAATTTTCTTCTGACTTCAAACATTAACTTAAATTCAGTATTCTTGCATGGTTCTCTCTCTCCATTTAACGTTACATAAAATTATTTTTATGAAATAAAATGAAAAATTTGAATTTAAAGAAAAACGTACACTTCATTTAATTTAAAATATTTATAAAATATAACGTCTATCGTATTTTACTGAAAGCTATTTTAAAACTAGATTTTATCGCAAAGAAAGATTACAATACATAGAAATTATAAAAGAATGAAATTACATTTTGAAAGATGCAGGAAATAGAATAAAAATTAAATGGATAATATTTTTCAGATGCATTTATTCCAAAATAGAAATATACAAATTATATTATTTAATTTTATAATAATTTCAATATTAATTTCTAATTATCCACAAAATATATGCTTAAAATGTAAAGCAATGCATTTTAAAATTCTACATTGGTTGAAGAAGAATTTTTATATATTAATTCTTCAAAATGGTTTATAGTTTGAAAAAATGAGCCTATAATCATTCAAATGAAAAAAGAGAGAAACATGAACGAAAAATAACTGAAAACGAGATAAATTGCTTCTTATTATTGTAAAAAAGTATGTATGTACAGTATATGCTAGCGAGCTTTTAAGCATTGATTTTTGCATTCAGTGTAGTGTTTATTTTCACCTTTTCCATGACAATTAGAAATGTTTGCAAGTATTAAAGAGATACTTATTCAATGTTTTGGATAACTTGTATTTATCAGTCGAAACATATTTAAATATAATTATTAAAATATGTTGTTAATTAGAGCAATATATGTTGTATTTTTGATTAGAATAACATAAAATGATTAGTCTGAATTTTAAAAATAATTGAATCCGGCATGTATTCTTAAACATAATGGTTAGTGATATGTGTAAAATTAAAATTTGAATTTTGTATTATCATTCGGTTCGTTTATACATTAGGAATTACATTATGTAATAATTCGAATGCAGTTAGTTTTACTTGAAAAATTGATTGGGCTGTAATTTCGATTCATCTCATTCAAATTATCATAAAAATGATCGTTAAAATTATAAATCGAAATTCATCTATTTTTTCAATCAATAACTCTTCTAAAATATGCCCGTTCAAACTCAATAATTTATATTGTAAATACATCAGGTAAAAATATCATTTTCTACAAAATAAGGCATAATTAAGTTAATGCGGTTATTTAATTAAGCCATCAAACAATTTTCGAAGTTTAAGTACGATAACTTTCGTAGAGAAAACTGTCGAGCTCAAATTTTGTATGTAGGTTAACAATGCAATTCTAAAATAATTTAAAAATAAATGTTCATATTAAGCATGATTACTAGATTATACTTTGAAAAAATACTTATAATATAAAACTTTTATTTTATTTATTATACTCACCAGTATAAAGGTTTACTTTCTAAAAGATTATTTGAATTAATATTTCAGTTCTGATTTGTAAGATTTGAGATAAATTAATTATTTACTTTTAAGTTTAGAGTTGATGTATACGAGTATTTATTCTCATTTGTAAAATATAAATGAGAAAAATACGAATCTACGTATTTAATACACGAACATTCAATATATTTAATATTATCAATGAATTTCATTTCGTTATTGTTATAATTATTCTATTCTGAAAAATCACAAAATTCGTTACATTTTGGGTACAGAATTTAAAAAGCCTTTAAAGACTTTTAATATAGGCCTATAGATAACAAATCAAGAAAATTAAAATAATCCAAACCATTACTTTATTCAAATTTATAATATAATTTATTTTATATATTTCCTTCA